TGTGGTATATTTGTAAAGGTATACAGATGGCATAAAAGCAAAAGAGGTTATTTGTCAAGAAGGGATCAGCAAGAGGAGAACAGGAAGGCATTGGGGAAGAATAAAATATAATGGAGTATATGTAGTATGAAATGCTATAATAAAACACTATATTCTAACTTAGAAAATTAAAAGATATGTAATCAAGTGTGAGAGTCAAAGAAATCAGGAGTTAGAAAAGATGTGCTATGGTGAGGCAAACAATACACAAAGTATTGTGGAAATGTTTCAGAGAACTAATCAACTCAGCTTTGTTACATAAGACACTTTGAAAAGGTGACACTTGATCTGAGGGGTTTTTGCTGCTGTTGCTGCATTCATTCATTCATTCATTCATTTATTTACTTATTTATTTATTTGTTATGTACACAATGTTCTGCCTCCATGTACACCTGCACACCAGAAGACAACACCAGATGTCATTATAGATGGTTGTGAGTCACCATGTGGTTGCTGGAAATTGAACTCAGGACCTTTGGAAGAACAGCCAATGCTCTATAACCTCTGAGCCATCTCTCCAGCCTCTGATCTGAGGTTTTAAGACAAATAATTAACCATTAGTTGATTTTAATAACTATGCAGGTAGTGGAAGGGCATTACAGGTATAAGAAAGAGTGCAGAGAGCTGGGTGGTGGTGGCACACACCTTTAATACCAGCACTTGGGAGGTGGGAGGCAGGCAAATCTGAGTTTAAGGCCAGCCCAGTCTACAAAGTGAGTTCCATAAGAGTCAGGGCTACACAGAGAAACCCTGTCTTAAAAAAATAAATAAAATAAATAAAACAAGCAAAAATTAAAAACAAACAAAAAACAATGAGGACAAAAGCACAGAGGGTAAGAAAACAAAAACTCTAGGAGCAATGCCACGGAAGATAACAGAGCAATGTATGGAAGCCAGAAAAAAAAAATTGTATTTAAGACCAGTTCACAAAAGTACATTCTTAGGTAGTTCTGTCTTATCCCAACGAAAAACAAATAGTAACAGGAATTCAAGCAGAGTACTTTTTTTTTTTTTTGTTCAGAATTGCAGGTGGAAGATTGCAGGTAGTAAGCTAGGAGCTACCTCTATCACTAGCATCCAAGTGACCAATAAAATTTTCCTGAACTGGGTTAATGAAGTGTAGATGCAAAAGAGAGAGACCACAGATCCATTTAGAAGGCAAGAATAACAAAAATGGATGTAGCGAGTGTAACAGGCTGCAATAACAGGATGGTTTCCAATTCTACCCTTGAGTGGTTATATAGATGCTGGTGCCCTTCGTCGTGATAGTAATCCAAAAGAAAGAAATGTGAATTTTAGACTTGTTGCGTCTGTAGTTACTGAAAATGAGTTGGTTAGAAAATGAAAGGGATTATATAGAAGAGAGAAGTAACTCAGTTTTGGATTGAACTTAATTTGTCTGTGTCACCAGCTACACCATTCCTGAGTACATACCCAAAGAAGTTTTATCCTACCATAAATTACCTGCACATATGTATTATTGCTGCACTGTACATAGTAGTAAACAAACACATTGTAAGAACCAGCCTAGATATCTACGAAAAGGTGCCTAGATAAAGAAAATGTGGTAGATATACATAATGGCATTTTATTTGGCCATAAAGAAAAGGGGATTGGAGTTAACAGCACTAGCTGCCCTGAGTTTCCCTGAGTTTTGATTCCCAACATCCACATGATAGCTCACAAACATTTGTAACTCCCATTCCAGGGGATCTGAAGCCTTCTTCTTTATTCCACATTCAAAAGAAACATACGTAGTACATATACACACATGTAAGCAAAAAACTCATCCATAAAATGAAGAATGAAGAGGCTGCAATACAGTTCTGACTATGCTTTGCAATCACAAAATGTACCAAGTTCTTTTCACATCGCCAGCCTCTGGAGCAATACTTGGAAACAGGATGCAACCCTGGAATTTATAAACATTTGAACATTGACTTTGGCTACCAACTTCATGGTCATTTTAAACTGGGTTCTATTAAGAATCCGGAGAGTTGATGATGCCAGATTCAACTCACGAACAGATGGTACCAAAGAGTTCCCAGTTAACTCTGCCCCTTCAATTTCCCACATTACCACCCAGCCTATAAACTATTAGGCAGCACATACCAAAAACTACTATGCTTTGGATTTAATACCTCTTGGATTAAAAAAAAAACTCATTAGATTAATTTCTTATTTTGGCAAAAGTCTCAACAATCCTCTTTCCCAAATTGAGTGCTTGACCTAATACTGAGATGACTTACATAAATACTGCCAATAAGGCTTTCATATAAGACAAATACTCCCAGAGCAGATCAAAAAGGCAATTCCACTAATACAAACAGCTTTCTAGATGCTGTCATTTACTTAAAATGCTCAATTAGTATGTGAAATATTAATTTATAATAACTATTGATTTTATGAACTCAACTTTAAAAGAATTTGTAGGTAATTGAAACAAATTCAGATTTTTTTTTAAAAAAAAGTTTTTACTCTTTGTTCTTTGCTGTTTTGAAACAGGATACCATGCAGTCCAAAATGAATTCAAATTCACTACATGGCCAAAGATGACCCAGAAATCCTGATCTGCCTCCACCTCTCAAGTGCTGAAATTATAGCTGTGCTCCACCACTAAAACAGTTAATGTTAACAGGGCTGTGTCCTGAAGAAAAGAAATACTCATTATGTAGGTCAATTTGACCTGAACTAATTGCCTAATGGACATTTAATACTACAATGAAAATGTTTCTGAGAAAGGAAATAAACTGAGTTTTTTTTGGTTTTGGTGTTGTTTTTTTTGTTTTGTTTGAGACAGGGTCTCACTGTGCCATCTTGCTTGAACATAAACTCACTATGTAGCTCCTGCTGGGCTTGAACTCATAGAGATCTGACTCCCAAATGCTTCAATGACAGGACTGTGTGGAATTGTGCCTAACTGTTGAGATTTTCACCCCCTCGTCCTCTCCCGACAATGGGAATTGAATTCAGGGTCTCATACATGCTAAGAAAGTACTCTATCACTGAAATACACCCAACCCTGTGAAAAAGTTTCAAAGGCATAGGAGCAATAAAAAATTTTAAAAGATTGGCAGGAGTAGTGGCATATGGACTTGGGAGGCAGAGGCAGGAGGATATCTGAGTTCCAGGACAGCCTGGTCTACAGAGTGAGTTCTAGGACAGCCAAGGCTATTACACAGAGAAATCCTTTCTCAAAAAAACATAATAATAATAGTAAAAAGATTTAAAAGTTTCACAGTCATTAAAATTTCATTGAATAATTACCTATAGAGAAAAAAAAATAAAATCCTATTAATCTTCAATTTTCTACTCAGAGATCTTTCAAAGATAATTTTCAGGGCTGGAGAGATGGCTCAGAGGTTAAGAGAACTGTCTGCTCTTCCAAAGGTCCTGAGTTCAATTCCCAACAACTACATGGTGGCTCTTCTAGTGTACAGGCACACATACAAGAAGAGTACTGTAAACATAATGAATAAATATATCTTTTAAAAAGATAATTTTCAGTCTAAGAATTAGAAATCAGTTTTATCTATAATAAAATATGAAACTCTTCTTAAAAACTAAGATTGTTTTTTAGTCACTTCATGACTCACCTTATTTATCACCTTATTTATATATTGTTAGATTTATATGCAAAACATTTCAAATATATCACATGCAGCTGAACAGATACTTGAAAATGGCACTGGAGAGCCAGGTAGTGGGTAAAGTGCATGTGTGTAAGCATGAAGAACTAAGTTCAGATGCCTACCATCCACTATATGCATCTGCCACCCGAGGCCGGCACTGGGGGATGGAGATAAGTACATCCATGAGCACTCTAGCCAGACGCTCAAGCAGAAACAGCAAGCTCCAGGTTAATGAATACCCTGGCTCAAAAAGTAAGGTAAAAAAAAAACACACACAGGATGAAACTTGACGTAGAAGTCTGGCTTTACATGTGCATGTGCGTACACACACGTGCACACACTATACACACATGGAAATATGTGTATGTATACACACAAAATATTTGAAGCTATTCAGTATGACTTATACATTGTCTACATCAATTTCAAAGGCAGCATATAATGACTGCTGACAGGCTAAGTAGACAGCAAGTTAAAGTGACACAATCTCGGCCACTCCTACAACCCAAAAGACAGCTACAGACATAAACATGCTAACATGCAATTGCCTACATATGTGTGCATATATATCAGATATCCAAAGTCAGAAGTAGAAGAAAAAGGTACTACTCAAAGAAGAGTAAAGAGAATTTTAAAGCTCCCAATCCCTAGATGGAGAAACCTGTGACACTAATATCCCCAATGAAGTTCAGCAACTTGGCCCAAAGTCATGCTGAGAGCTGTGGTAAGAAACTGCAATCCCCATGGCTTACCTCTGTAACCCAGGAAAAACCTGCCATCTGGGCTACTGTGTTGTCTTGCAATACATACTAATATGACTAAGAAATTGCACACAGACTGAAAAAAAAAAAAACAATTGTTTTGTGGATAATCTAAGAGACAGATTGTGTTAAGGATATGAAATGATAACCTCAATTTAGGAATTGAGAAGTGTAACCAAAAAGATGCTCTGAAGCTTTTACTATGAAACATAATATCCTGGATTACTATCTATCCCTCAGTAGCTGAGTCTGATTCAATAATGAATAGACACAAACGCACACACATACACACACGCCAAATAAAATCATCCAGACCTGAAGCCTAGCTCTGTAATTTTTATTCTGCAGCCATTCTTGCATCAGTCAAACCTTACATGTGGGACTTTCTTTCCAGACAGGGCAGCACACAGACAAAATGTATTGCAAACAGTCTAGTTCTAGTCTCTCTAGTACTTCTACTACTTTTTAGTACTTTCTAGTACTTCTAAGTCTTTTTTTCCTGTTTGAAATTTCCATCATATAGCATACAAACTCTTCAATTTAACCAAAGGGAAAAAATGTGAGCAAATTTCCTTAAGAAATAAAAGGATCTTTATTGATTTAGAAGCAATATTGGACAAACAGACAGGCAAATATCTGAGAAGAGATATAGTAAGTACATCAACTAGCACTTTAAACATTGAAGAAAAAACATGGAAAGTACTTACATGGACCAGTTTCTTATACAAACGCTAAAGCGTGGGAAAACATCGCAAACCAAATAAGAGTATTACCATCAAGGCGCAAAACCAGTAAAACAAAACAAAAAACAAAATACAAAAGATAGTGTGTCTATAGGAAATAATAGTGTAAATAGCAGTACATAAACTGGTCCATGTAAAATACAAAAATATTTATTGAAGTCAGATCTTCCTATAAAACAGTGCTTTGGAGGTATTTTAATATGAATCAGATATATAATCTAAATGTAAAAACTTTTAGAAACATTAACAGCGTTAAGCCAGTGCCACCCACTTGTTCCAATTAGTCTTTTTTAAAAGCTGTTTTGTTGATTTGTGACAAATATATAACATCTGTGTTCTTAAAAGCATAGTCATTTCTTTTAAGAATAACAAGCTTATGCTAAAACACAGTTTAATGAAAAATATTTTTTTAAAAATCAGATTTCTGTTTCATTTCTATTAAATGTTTTAACCTGGCCATGCAGTTCCCTGTTGCTCTAGGAGACAGTCAGGGATATGATTCTGAACTAGTAAGGTTTTCAGGCTAAGTAGACAGCAAGTTAAAGTGACACAATCTCTGCCACTCCTACAACCCAAAAGACAGTTACAGACATAAACATGCTAACATGCAATTGCCTACATATCAGATATTCAAAGTCAGAATTTTGGAACCCAGATAGTTCTTCCTTTTCTTGTGAATGAAAGGCATATAATCAGCCCTCCCCAAATAACAAGACCCTTCTATATATGGCTGCAGATCAGTACTTTAAGAAATATTTGCTGAGCTATACCAATATGTATGCATGTATACATACATATATTGTAGATCTCCTAGAAGCCACAAAGAATACATTATGTGTTAACTATCAAGGTTAAATAATTTGCTCTCTCATATAAGCATTAGGTGGTACACAGTAAATGAACATTTGGTGCCATCTCTGAGTACAAAACTTAATACAAAGGTACCACAATGAACAGTAACAATGTAAGTTTTGATTATCACAGAACCATTTAAACATGAAAGCCAAATTAGTAAACGCTGTAGCAGTCAATGCCAACTGGAAATGAAGAGCATGTTAATGGACTAAGGCAAGACCATGACTTCTGGATTAGGTGCAAGCTATTTTATGAGTGTTAAGTGCACTTCGTTATCTAGGTTTTAAGACATACTAACATTTCTTCTTGAGGAAAAGAAAGAAAGAACAAAGCACATTGCCACCAACAAGGAAGACTGGAAGGTTCAAGAGAAATCTGCACTCATGTTAGTGCTGCATGTAGAGGTCAATTTCTGGGTACAAAGCACTAATGCCCTCATTTGGCACTGCCTAGCAATTATCTCTAAAGCACCTAAAACCAGATTGAAATGCCCAGTAGGAATTGCTTTGTGTCTTGCAATTTAAAAGATTGAAATATCCAGTTTTTAAAATGAGATTAAAATAAAAAGATTAACATCTATTCTAAAATTTAAAAAGCTTTTGTGTTTTGTCCTTTCATCCACATTAAATATAAATGTATTCAAAAGGCATGGGATAGAATTTTACTAGCAAGAGCATGATACTGCTGGGCTCTGCTCAAATCTAGTGATATCTCTTTAATAGGTCAAACACGGAGCAACGCCAAAGTAGCTAAGTTAAACCTGCAAACAAAAATCACAAACAATGCAAAAGGAGCAAATACAAATCCACTGAAGATCATGATGTCCAAAATCAACCTCGTGCAGGCAGAAAACACCTGCTCTTTTTCCTACACTATACATTCTCATCAGAAATCTAGCCAATGAAACAGAACCTGTAGTTCAGATAATTTTGTAAATGCCTTTTGCAATAGTAGTTTAAAACTTCTTAGGGAAACCAAAATCATATGACTCATTTGTAGTTGACAGTATTTGGAATTCCTTTGTTTGAGTTTGACATCTACCATACCACTCAACCTAAGAGCAGAATCATAACTAAATGTACCTTCAAGAGTATTGCATACATGAACTTGTACTTGCTTTATTATTTTGTAACAGAGATCACATGTGAATTAGTTTTACAGAGTTTGATATCCAGCATAACTCTTTCTTCTGCCAATTAGGTAAGCAATCACTATAACGATAATCAAGCCTGAAAGACCAGCACCAACTATAATTGGTATTAGAATGGTGTCATCATCCAGCGAACACTCCTGGGCTGTAAGTGAGAAAAAGTGTGTAACAAATAATGAGTATAATCAAAAAAGAATGTCTAAAACTAAAAGATGTTGATTCAAAAGTCAGAAATGCTCTTATAAAATTAATTTCAACTAACAAAGGCAGGCATATTTTTTATGATAAAGTATAGAAAGAGATGACCAGTTAAAGCTAAAATTCTAAAGTGTTCTTTCATTTGTGAGTACATATGAAGATACTCATATGTGTGAATAATGCAGATTTATTTATAGCTCTAAGTACACAATGTACCACATGACATTACACACAATGTATTATACTTCTAATATGGGAGAATTACTTTATCATAAATGAAGCAATCTAACCCAGCACATCTCTATAGAACCAGTTTAACCTCTGAGTAGGAGAATGTACATCCATGGGTAAATGGAGAACATCAGGGTAATACTGGACTGAACAATCAGGCTGGCAGCTCTGGCGTTCCTTAACAATAGGGTTCACCAAACTGCAGCCCATGGGCCAAACCTAGCTTAAGAGCTTAAAAAAATGGATAATTTTAAATGACTGGAAAAGAGGACAGTCTTTTGTGAAACATGGGAGTTACATGAAATTTCAGTTTTCATATCTTTCAGGTTTTTATTAGAACATAGCCACTCTCATCTGTATGAACTGCTAGGGTGGTTTCCAAGCTACAATGGCAGAATTAAAGAGTTGTGATACACACCATGACTTCAAAGCTTGAGAAATCACTGTTGAGACAGTTTCACAAATAGCTTGTATAGCCCTGGCGTAAAATATGTGATTTGAGTGGGTGGAAGAGTTAAGAAACTAGGACCTCTTGCTAGTATGAATATGTTCACTATGTGTTTTATCAATCTGGCTCAGAATAGCAGCCCAGGGGGACTATCTTTTTTTTTTTCTATTTATAACAAATATTCTGATCTAATAAAAACCAATCAACTCTTCAACCTGACTGCAATTCTATATCCTCTCTGAATATACTTAAGTATTGCCTGGGTGTTATATTTATAGTTACCTACAACCAAGAACCTAGATCTGTAAATAAAGCTTGCATTCAATATCAGTTTTAAAAGTTATACATTTCTCTGGCACCCAAACTTTCAAATTAGGCAAAGAGCAAAGCTCATCTCGAGCCACTGCCAACTAGATCAACATTTCTGAACCTGAGAATAGTACTGCAGATGATTTTAAATTCTAAACACAAAATCAGACCTCAAATTAGGATAATGGTGTAGGGGAGCTAGATGAAGATTTCAAAAATCACTCTATTACAAGATCAAAATAAATAAAGTAATAAGCAAAACAAACAGGAAAAACTGGATTGTTCCGGTTTCTTTGAAACAGGATCTCATATACTCCAGGCTATCCTCAAAGTGACTATATAGCCAAGAATGACTTTGAACTCCAAATAACCCTGCCTTGACGACCTGAGTATTATAAGTATAGTACTCAGGTACTATGATTATAAGCATGTGTCACCACTCCTGGCAAAGGAAATGGAGTCTTGAAAAAAAAATTTTTTTTAAGTTAAAGGACCTGAGTAAGGCCAACTAGGTATTTGGTACCACTGCAAAGGCAGCTGAATAGTTCACAGCATATTCACTTTAATCACAGCTTCACCATTTACTTATAAACCTCTAGATTAATTGTTTGAAAGGATGGGAATGACTGGAATAGCTCTGCTCAGCAAAGCTCTGCTCCACAAACCTCCAATTTCAAGTAATTGGTTTAAAAGTATACGTAACTTAAGGAATTTGCTGTATACTTTTGTTCTGTCCTGCCAATTTTAATCTTGCAATGCCAAATGCATCTTTTGTATTCACACAAATACAATGTAATGAACCTTACATGAGGATTTCATTAAAAACTTAATAAAGGCCATCATTAGCCCTTTTAAAGTAGGTCTTCAAAAAGCCTTATTTGAACTAAGGCATACTTTATGGACTCCCTATGTCACTTTGGCTATCTAGACAAGAATTCAAGGGATGTGAGGCTTTCTACCACCCTTTATCTTGTGTCTTAAGTAAATCAAACTGTTTTAATTTGGGTATGAAAATGTTCCCCAAGAAAATGATCCCAAGAAGGCAGATGTAAGGTACATAAAGCTTCTGTTCCACCTGAACTCAACCCCAGGGGAGCACCTGTTCCTTAAAAAAGGACTTTAAATACTTCAAATGATTTTCAGATTTTCAAAAATTGCATGTACTTTGAGCAAAATGATGAGCCAAATGAAGGCTTACACAATTCTTTCAAGCTGTGAGATCTTTCTATCAGCATCAAGAGGGGAATTACATTTCTCCATGTTCATATACAGGGGGCCCTTCACTTAGAGGAAAGGCCACCTATAAGGTGATGGAAGAACATAGTAAATAAAGTTTGTTTGAGTCTTACCTGTGGAATACTTTCCTTCTGTCACATTAAAAGGTTGCACCTTTAGGTTAAAGGTATTTATCTGGAATGTTTTAGACACTGAAACCACCTGTTCTCTGTTGCACAAATAAGAACTTCCCAAGGGGGCATCCCAGAAGCTAAGGTTGTCATTTGCAACGCTGAAAACTGCAGGAAAAAAGACAGGTTAGTAACTTCTTAGTCTATCAACATAAGAAAAATGAGACAGTGGACTTGTGTTCATGTGTGTGGGTGGAGTGGATACGGGTGTGCACAGATGCACCTGGTTGTGTACCTGCATTCGAGTGGTGGCCAGAGGACAGCCTTGGGTATTGTTCCTCTGGTGCTGCCCATCTTGGTTTTGGAGAGAGACCTTTCATTGGCTTATAGCCTGCCAAGTAAGCTAGGCTAGATAGCCAGCAAGCTCCAGAGATCCACCTATCTCTGCTTCCTTAGCACTGAAATCACAAGGGCACATCACCATACCTATGCAACCTTTTTTTAAACTCTTCGTGCTTGCAAGTACTTGAACAACTGAGCTATCTCACAAACCCTTCCTTGAGGGTTTTTAGTAAAGTATATGAGCTTGGAGTTAGGCTCAGACCCTCAAAAAAACAAATCTCGCCATCATTAAGTTGTTGGTTTGTTTTCTGAGACAGGGTCTTACTATATAGTCCAAACTGACTTAGGGGCTCACTATGTAGCCCAGGCTGGCGTCACCCTTATGATCCTTCTGTCTCTGCTTCCCAAGGCTGCAATTTCATGCATGCACCACTCCATCCACTTCTCTCCCTCATCTTTCCATAGATGTTTCAGTAGTCTAACATTCAGTCATTCTTAACAATTATCCACCATACTTTGAAAATATGATTCTGCAAGGGACAGAACACTATAGTTCTACATTAGATTTTTAAGTTGTGATCAAAAGACTTTTTACATAGCATCTTCAATTTCATAAAATATAATATAATCTGGCAATAAGCTATCATTTCTATTTTCTCCATAAAACCCATATTCTTCTCCTCCAGACCAACGCTATGCTTACCTGAGCCATTAGTCAAATACATGCTGATATTCACTTCCTTTAGATAGAATCGGTTTTCATTTTTCTGTTTGAGAAAGAACTTCTAGTTAATAACATCACAACTGTCTAAAGAGTTACTATCTACATAATAGCAATCTAGTACAGTTATACAGATGAGGAAATCATCACAAGACAACTAAGTCTTGTCACTAATTGTAACAAAACCATTTTCCAATGCATTTCATTTCTAAACACTTTGATCACAGCAGTCAGACATTCCTAGACATAGGATAATTCATCACCTCCTGTTTTACTCTTGTCACTTGCTGAGTCCATATTATCTAGCCTATGTCACAAAGTGGCCATTATTTGTTTTGTTGTTTAAGACAGGGTTTCTCTGTGTAGCCTTGACTGCCCTGGAACTCACTCTGTACACCAGGTTGGCTTCGAAATCACAGATCTGCCTACTGGGATTGAAGACATGCACCACAATGCCTAGCTCACAATGTAAACTTTTATTTGGGTGCCCTGCTTTTTAGCTCTTCCAGTTCTGTTCTCTGCTTTTCACTACTATTATTTCTTTTGTTTGCTCATCATATTTATTTTTCAATATTATATATTACTTTGCATTTTATTTTGTGTTCTAACCTTTGTGGTTTGGCTCTAGGACACAAGGTGTATTGCACATAACATATGAGTGTTATTCAATTGAGGACATCTTCAGGCCAGTGTTTATTTATTAAAATTTTCATTACACTTGTTTATTTTGTTTTTGTGGGTGCATACATAAACTCATATATGTGTGGAGGTCCGAAGACAACTCATGGGAGTTGGCTCTCTCCATCCACCATGTTGGCTCTGAGGACGGAACTCAAGTCATCATCAAGCAATTGACCCATCTTGCCAGGTTTATGTCTGTCTATTGTTTGTTTATTTGAGACAGGGTCTCTCTATTATGTACCCTCTGGCTGTCCTGGAACTCATTATGTAGACTAGACTGGCCTCAAACTCACAGAGATCCGCCTACCTCTGCCTCCCAAGTGCTGGGCAGTTTTATTTTTTTATTAACATATATTTTACTTTTGAAATAGCATCTCACTAAGTAGCCTTAGATATGCTGGAACTTTCTATGTAGATCAGGCTGTCTCAACTCAGTAATCCCCCCTGCTCTGCTTCCCAAGTGTTGTTGGATCAAGGGCTTTGCACTACTACATCCCACTAAATATAGCAAGTGTTTGCACTTTGTTTTTGAGACAGGGTTTCTCTGTGTAGCCCTTCCTCTTCTGGAACTCACTACCTAGACCTGGCTGGCCTAGAACTCACAAAAGTTCACCTTCTTCACAAAAGTTCCCAAGTGTTAGGATTAAATGTGTGCACCACCACACCCAGCAGTCAATTATATGTATTAATGGAGCACAGTTGTGATAGTCTGACACATGCATATAATACGTACTAATCAAATAAAGGGTAATTGGCATTTCATTTGCCTTAGAACTGTTACTGTTTGAAGTTCTGAGGTCCCCTCTTCTAGATCTTCATAAAATATAAAATAGGGTACTCTGAACTAGTCATCCTATTGTGGTATGGAACATTTACTGTCCCTCTACCTAGCCTTCCCTCCCTATTATTTTTCTGAAACATTTAACTGATCGGCCAGTCATTCTAATTGTCTAAGTGCTTAGTATGCACAAAGTAGCATGTTTAAGCACTCCATCGAACTAGCAAGATGAACCAGTCTCATATCTTGTTCTCCCAATGCGTGCAATCTACCAGAGAACATAAAACAGATGCATAAGAAATTAAAGATAATAGCTCAGTGCCAGAGGGCTTGCTTAGCATTTGAGTCCTGGAGTTGAATCCCTCTGTCCCTTGACTGGAAAGAAAAGATATATAAAAAAGTTAATCCTGTTACAAAAAAGAAAGTGGAAAATTAAGAAATCTGACAGGAAAGAAACTATCTCCAATGAGGGAAGATGCAAAAGTCATGCCAGCTGAGGTATGGGGAGTTTGGGGTGGGCAGGATTTGGTTAGGGAACAAGTAGACAAAAGATATTTTCAAGAAGGCAAGAGCATAAGCAAAGGTAATCAGAAATAAGCATTAACTGAATGAACAGTTGAGAAGTGCCAACCATTATTCTTTCTGTGTGCAAGACACTGGAGATTGGTAATAGCATTCTCCACACGATAGACAAGCATCTTGACACTGAGCTGTAATGTAAACCCCTCATTTTATTTGCTATTTTGACACAGCGTCTCACTAATTTGCCCAGACTAGCACTGAACTCAAAGTAGCACAAGCTAGCTGGCCTTAAATTTGCAATCTTCTTATCTCAGATGACCAAGTAGCTGTGAGTATAGAACTATGCCACCAGCCCTGGCTCCAACACCCTATACTACTGATGCTGTTTTTGTGCCTAGTTTAGGATGAGTCATTCACGCACAGAGTTCCTAAGTGACCTTCCACACACCCCCACTGCCAATTAGTAATCAGTGAGCTGGTTACTGCTGTGCTCTTAGACTTCACAACCTATTGCCTGAAAGAGTGAAGGAGGATTCATAAGTGAAATAAAAGCTACAAGAGTAGAGTTCACCGCATGGCTCGAATCACCCTTCTGTAATTTAGATGTTACCTTGTTGGCAAAAGAATCACTGAAGATTTATGGGGAAAAGATGTGCTTTGTGAAAATTAATCTAAAGGAGATAAGGAAGAGGGAAGGTTAGATAGGAGGCTTTTGAACAACCCAGGCAAAAGGTACCACAACTGGAACCAGACCTGAGGCCGAGAGAGGGGAATGAAATGAAGACAGAGAGAAATTTCAATACCAAGGGTAATGAAGGACTTGATGTCCTCTTACTACGCAATGCCTCTCACTTGCACTCAAGATTCTCCTTTGTTCTAACTACATTCATATACTCAGCTAAATACTCAACTTGCATCATCCTCCCAGCTGATCTTGATTATGTTCCATTACCAAGGGCCAACCTCTACTTTTCTACTTGTCCTTATTTTTGTATGTACAAATCTGACCTGTCCCTGAATGCCCTCAAATGTCATCTCTTCCATTAAACCTTCACCTCCCCTCCAGTCAGAACTAAGCTCTCACCTTCTTCTTTGCTCCCATAGCACCTTCTGCTAACATCTGGCCTGGCCCTAGGCATGTAGCCAGGTAGCTGTATTCTTGCCTAGCATTTGCGAGAGAAAGAGAAAATGAGAGGGAGAAAGAGAGAATGGAATGACTATATAGGAAGGCCTGTTCTTGACATACTGAACAGGCTAATTATTTTCTGTTTATTTTGTAATTTTTGCAGTGCTAGAGATGGAACTTCAGAGCTTCACACCCACTAGGTAAGCACTTGACCACTGAAACTATGGATATTTGGATCTTCTTAGTAGTAACTGGGTGGTCACACACACACACACACACACACACACACACACACACTGTAACAAAGAATTTACTTAATACTGGGGAAAATAGTTTTTGTCAGCATTTATAAATAAAATTGTTTAATATATTCATTAATTACTCGATAAATAATCTATGGAAAAAAGGTTACACTAGAGATAACAAGTTCAAATATGAAATAACATACTGACATTTTTTTGTTGTGTGTGTTTTATTTTTTATTTATTATTTACTTTATTTGTTTGCTTGTTTGTTTATTTTTAAGAGCCTCACTACATAGTCCAGGCTGGCCTTGGACTTCTGATCCTCCTGCTTTACTATAGGTAGGTGAATATCACCTTGCCTGGCCATAGCTACTTTTTATACATCAGATCTGAGACTGTATCCCCATCCCTACATAAAGTAATATGAATTGAAAGCAGAAGTGGGTTGTTTCCAAGTTCTGGCTATTACAAATAAAGCTGCTACGAATATGGTTGAACAAATGTCCTTGTTGTGTACTTGAGCAAATTTTGGGTATATACCTAGGAGTGGTATAGCTGGGTCTTGAGGTAGCACTACTCCTAGTTGTCTGAGAAAGCACCAGATTGACTTCCAAAGTGGTTGAACCAGATGTCCATCAACGGAGGAATGGATACAGAAATTGTGGTATTTTTACACAAATTGTGGAATACTACTCAGCAATCAAAAAGGAGGAAATCATGAAATTTGCAGGCAAGTGGTGGGATCTAGAAAAGATCATTCTGAGTGAAGTATCCCAGAAGGAGAAAGACAAACTTGGTATATACTCGCTTATATAGACCTACAAGATATGATAAACATAATGAAATCTACACACCTAAAGAAGATAATCAAGAAAGTGGACACAGGCGAACGTGATTAATCCTCATTTAGAAAGACAAATGGGATGTGCATTGAACGTATGACAGGAGTCTACCACAAAAGGAATCTGAAAGACTCTACCTAGCAGTGTTTCAAAGCAGACGCTAAGACTCATAACCAAACCCTCGGCAGAGTGCAGGGAATCATATGAAAGAAGGGAAGTTAGTATGATATGGAAAGGATAGGAGCTCTACAAGGACCAAATATATCCGGGCACAGGGTCTTTTCTGAGACTGACACTCAACCAAGGACCATCTATGGATATAACCTAGAACTTCGGCTCGGATGTGGCCCGTGGTAGCTCAGTAACCAAGTAGTTTTCCAAAGTAAGGGGAACACGGACTATTTCTAACAGGATCTCAAGGGCAGGCTGTTTGACCCCCCCAGGGGAGGAGCAGTCTGTTAGGCTACAGAGGAGGACTTTGCAGCCAGCCCTGAAGGTACCTGATAAAACAGGGTCAAATGAAAGGGGAGGAGGTCCTCCCCTATCAGTAGACTTGGAAAGGGGCAAGGAGGAGACCAGGGAGGGAGTGCGGGGTTGGGGAGGGAATGAGGGAGCGGGATACAGCTGGGACACAGAGTTAACAAAATGTAACTAAAAAGAAAAATAAAATTAAAAAAATATATATAAAAAAAGTTAAAATTATAAAAAAATTGAAAAAAAAAAAGAAAGCAGAAGTGGTTTTATACAATTATACAACAGTTGCATAATGGCAGCTCAAGAACGCGGTAGTGGCTCCCATCTTCCCTTACCTATAACTATCTCCTATTCTTCATTCCCATTTGATATTGTACACATACATCAATCACACAAAATTAAGACTAGCAATTGATTCTGAAATGGTAGAAATTAAGGTCCCCAGTTATTCCTGGATGCTAGCAAGAAGTAGAACAAGTATGCCTAACTTCTCACAGTTCAGTTCTTAACATAAGCATGAGTAACAAAAACTGAATGCTGGCACTGTAAAAGATCCTGATTTGATGAGTTAATGTATCCATTTATACAGAGGCATTATATAACAAAAGAATCGTCCCTCAAATTCTCAGAGGATTAGTACCAGGATCCACTACAGATACTAAAATCTCGGGTGCCCAAGTTCCCTTTTCAAAATGGTGTACTGTTTGCTTATGATTTCCCCACGTTTCCTGTATACTTTCAATCATCCCCAAATTACCTATAATCCTTAAGTGTAAACGTTGCATAAAAGGAATAATGTATTGCTTACATTTTAATAACAAGAACAAAAGTCTGTGCATGTTCCCAAGAAATGCAATTTTTGTGGCTCTGGGAACAAACTGCAGAAGTCTTGTGCATTCTAAGCAAGAATATCTGCCACAGAACTTGAACCTGAAGACAACTTTACTTTTAGAAACAGACAGTTAACTAGGCTCATTAGTGCTAGTTATTATTAGTACAGACACTACTACAAAGAATTGTTAACAGGGGCTGGAGAGATGACTCAGTAGTTGGGAGCACTGGCTGCCCTTCCAGGACCTGGGTTCAATTCCCAGCACCCATATGGCAGCACAGTTCACAGCTATCTGTCTCTCCAGTTCCAGAAAATCTGGCACTTTCATACATACATGCAGGCAAAACACACCAATACACATAATAATAAATACATCTTTTTAAAAATAATCTTAACTATAAAAGGTTTAAAATGTTATGTGTAAACATGACAAATGTTTAATAATAGAGAAAAATATCATAACAACTAATTGTATATGGAGTAATAGTTTTCTTTTAATGTGAGCTCATCTTATTCCTACATTAGAGTATATTTAATGGCAGAATGGCCACTTTCTGTGATTAAGTCCAGCTCATCAGCAATCCAGCTGACTCAGATGAGGAGTGATAAGAAAGCTATATTTTATAATTAAATAGTGTTATAAGGGCAAAGAAAGCCAAATATCCCCCATATACCCCTACCACTGTTCAGAGCTTCAGGTGCACTTCTCAGAGAAAGAACTTAACTTTAGAAAACAACTGGTACTCACCACAGCAAAGATAAAGTCAAGATGCTTAATTTGGCTGTTGTTCAGCCTAAGTTGAGCAGTTTCAGGATGACAGCTGCCAGTGAAGTTGGTTGTAGTGGGGTTAATGTTAAAAATGAAAGGCACCTTTGGGACAATAGGCAGAAGAAAGCTGCAGATTAACTTTAAAAGTTGACAGCAAAGTCTTATACACTGATAAAACCAACTTCAACGTACAATACAAATTTCCTGTGTGGATACTTAAATTCATGGTGTCTTACTTTCATGAGAACTTGGCACAAGCCTTCAAGCTATGACTCAGCAGACTTCAACAACAATAACAAGAGAGAAGTTTTCTCAGTAATGAGCCAAATGATTTTTTTTTTTTTTTTCAGAACAAAAGAACCATCTGTCTAGCTTGTTTCAATCACAGGATCCTGAAAAATGGAATTTGTTCACTGGTCCTCCCCCTGGTGCCCCAGCGAGGTACTGCAACCCAACAAGTCCTTGACCATATCTTTGTGCTCTGACTTATTAAATAGCCTTGGTCCTGCATACCAACCTGCAATGCGGTTCAAATAAAAGGGTGAAGTGAAAGGGTTTTGATTTGATTTTTAATTTTTGGCAGTGCTGAGATGGCACTCAGGGTCTTGTGCATGTTAAAAAAGTGCTCTGCCACTGAACTTTATCTTATCCCATCCTCAACTATGTAAATGCTGAGCTACTGAAGGTTGATAGACTCTAAGCTGTAAAGAAGTCTTTTTTTCTCATTTTATTTATTTTTTACAATTCATTCACTTTGTATTCCAACTGTTGCCCCTTCCCTCATTCCCTCCCAACCCTATCCTCCCTCCCTCATCTCCTCCCATGCCCCTCTCCAAGTCCACTGATAGGGGAGATCCTCCTCCCCTTCCATCTGACCCTAGCCTATCAGGTCTCATCAGGACTGGCTGCATTGTCTTCCTCTGTGGCGTGGCAAGGTTGCTCCCCCATCAGGAGGAGGTGATCAAAGAGCCAGCCACTGAGTTCATATCAGATACAGTCCCTGTTCCCATTACTAGGGCACCCATTTGGGGGACTGAGCTGCCATGGGCTACATCTATGCAGGGGTTCTAGTTTATCTCCATGCATGGTCCTTGGTTGGAGTATCAGTCGCAGCAAAGAACCCTGGGCCCAGATATTTTGGTTCTGTTGCTCTCCTTGTAGAGTTCCTGTCCTCTCCAGGTCTTTCTATCTTCCCCTTCTTTCATAAGATTACCTGCCCTCTGCCCAAACTTTGGCTATAAGTCTCAGCATCTACTTTGATAACCTGCTGGTTAGACTCTTTCAGGGGCCCTCTGTCATAGACTCCTGTCCTGTTCCCTGTTTCTCCCTCTTCGATATCTGTCCCATTTGCTTTTCTGAGTGAGGATTGATCATAATACCCAAGGTCCTCCTTCTTGCTTAACTTCTTTAGGTGTACAGATTTATATCTGACTGAGGGCTAATATCCAGAATATATAAAGAACTCAAGAAGTTAAAAAGCAACAAATCAAGTAATCCAATTAAAAAATGGGGTACAGAGCTAAACAGAGAATTCTCAATAGAGGAATACCCAATGGCAGAGAAACACTTAATTAAAGAAGTGCTCAACGTCCTTAGTCATCAGGAATATGCAAATCAAAACCACCCTGAGATTTCACCTCACACCAATCAGAATGGCTAAGATCAAAAATTCAAGTGACAACACTTGCTGGAAAGGATGTGGAGAAAGAGGAACCCTCCTCCATTGCTGGTGGGAATGCAAACTTGTACAACCACTTTGGAAATCAATTTGGCGCTTTCTCAGAAAATTAAGAATACTGCTTCGTCAAGATCCAGGTATACCACTCCTAGGCATATATCCAAAATATGCTCAAGTATACAACAAGGACATTTACTCAACCACGTTCGTAGCACCTTTATTCATAATAGCCGGAACCTGGAAACAACCCAGGTGTCCCTCAACTGAAGAATGGATAAATTGTGGTACATTTATACAATGGAATACTTCTCAGCAATTAACAACACGGAAATAATGAAATTTGCAGGCAAATGGTGGGAACTAAAAAAGATCATCCTGCGTGAGGTATCCCAGAAACAGAAAGGTACACACGATATATACTCACTTATAAGTAGGTATTAGACATATAATATAGAATAAACATACTAAAATCTGTAAAGAAGTCTTTTAAACTGGCAGATTTTCTGCTAGCCAAGATGTCTTTGGAATGGCATTAACTCTTCATGGATATAGTCATTCCACACTAATCAAAACTCAAGTCAGCACCAACTCTATATTTTAAAGTGAATCGTTCTAGTAACAGTTCCTAAGTGGATGGTAGACTATCCATTACCTGAGAAGAAATTTTTTTTAAAAGATTTGTTGATAAAACAGACAGCCCTACCTTCTCAGTGATATTCAGCTGCAGCCCCATGGTAGCCAGCAGACAGGTAGTATTGCCATTAGTAACGGTGTAGTTTCCAACTGTTGGAGTAGGAGTGGGTTTTGAAGTTGGAATAAATGTTGTAGTAGGAGATGGCATGGTGGTGTGAATGACAGGTGCTTCAGTGGTGTCTTCCTCACACACATATTCTAAAACAAAGGACAAAATAAGCTAGAGTGCTCTTCTTGCTGTATTAAGCCAGGAAAGAGCAAATTACTTCCCAGAGTCAGGTTCTCACAGTTTAAGAGGGTTATAAGAACAAAAGACCTGGGTGGTATATTTTTTAAGTGGATTCACTGTTTCATACACAAACAATCTCTTAACAAGTTGTGACCAGACCAGAGTAGAAAAACTGAGAACACATCAAAAGATTAGTTATTCAAGTGTACCATGGTGGGCTATACATTATTTAAGATGCAAATTAAAAAAAAAAAAAACAGCCCTACCTTCTCCTCGGTGATGTTCAGCTGTAGCCCCATGGTAGCCAGCAGATAGCTAGTACTGCCATTAGTAATAAGATACTACCACATAGTCTTCTTTTTCAGGCCCACAAAGGCCTTTATTTCAAAGAATTTCACCTTGCTCTGCTGGAAAAATCTAGAGAAAGGTCTGAAAACATCCCCTCCAGATAAAATGTCTTTGTCCTTCCAACAAAAAACCATTGTGATAACCACTACTTATTTAAAAAGTTTGGAAATTGTTAAATATTTAAAAATACAAAGAAATCTTTACTTTTTATTACCCCTACAGCAGGTCACCAGCATTTAAATTCCTTTTTAGGAAGTATTAGTAGTTTTCTAGAAATGAATGTGCAATTATTATATTTCCGTTAAAAAGTACATAAAACTATTTTAAAATCAACTTGTAAAAGTCAAGGTTAGAACAAAAAAATCTAATTTTTAAGCTTTGGGCAAGGAATTGCTAAAGAGCACATAGCCAAGCTAATTGAGGATTTATTTTATAGGCTGAAAACATCACAGAAAATTTTTTCTTTAAAACTATTCCAAATGCAGCCACTCCTGATGAGACCTAATTGACTAGATCAGAAGGAAGGAAAAGAAGACCTCCCCTAGCAGTGGACTTGGGGAGGGGCATGCATGCAGAGGGTGGAGGAAGGGAGGGATTACAATGGGAGGAGGGAGAGAACCACAGGGGGGATACAAAGTGAATAAAGTGTAATTAATAAAGAATTTAAAAAAATAAAACTATTCCAAAGGCTAGGTAGATAAATGGTTCAGCAGTTAAGACCACTATGGTCTTCCAGAAGGCCTGAGTTTGAGTCCCAACACGCACGTGGTGGCTCACAATTATGTACAACTCTAGTTCCAGGGGATACGATACTAGGCATGCATGTGATGCACAGACATGCACAGGAAATATTAAAAAAATAGTCAAATATAAAACTTAAAAGAGCGAGGCATGGTGGCATACACCTTTAATCAAAGCAGTCTAAGAGGAAGAAGCAGAGACCTCTGTGAGTTTAGATGCCAGCCTGGTCTCTCTCAAAAAAAAAAGAAAGGAAGGGAGGGAGGAAGAGAGGAAGGGAGGAAGGAAGGGGAGAGAGAGAGAGAGAGAAAGAAAGGAAGGAAGGAAGGAAGGAAGGAAGGAAGGAAGGAAGGAAGGAAGGAAGGAAGAAAGAAAGAAAGAAAGAAAGAAAGAAAGAAAGAAAGAAAGAAAGAAAGAAAGAAAGAAAGAAAGAAAGAAAGAAAGGAGCCATTCAAAGGCTGAGGCTTGAGAGATAATTCAGTTGGTAAAGTGTTTGCTTGGCAAGTCTGAGAACTGAGATAAATCCCCAGAACCCACATAGAAAATCTAAGCATGAAGGCATATGCTTGCAACATCAGTGCTGAGCGCAGTGGCCACAGGTGCATTCCCTGCAACTCACTGCACAGTCAGCCTAGCCTACTCAGTGCTTTCTAGGCCAGTGACAGATCCAATGTCAAAACTCCATGAAGAGTGGACCCAGAGTTGACCACTGGCCTCCAGTGCATCCTCTCTCTCTCTCTCTCTCTCTCTCTCTCACACACACACACACACACACACACACACACACACGCAAACCATTCCATGTATAAATTATAAACTTTCAACTGAAATTATCATTAAGAATGACTATCACTTAAGGCCAGGAATGATGGTGCATGTGTTTAATTTCAGGAGGCAGAGGCAGGTGGATCTCTGGGGTCTGAGGCCAGCATGGTCTACAGAGCACGTTCCAGGATGTCCGGGACTACACAGAGAAACCCTGTCTCAAAGAACAAACAAACAAACAAAAAGAATTACTATTACTTTAAAAATACTTAGTCTCAGCCAGGTGTGGTAGCACATGCTTTTAAACCCAGCGCGCTCAGGAAGTTTAGACAGGCTGATCTCCGTGAATTCCAGGACATCTTGGTGTACAAAGCAAGTCCATCTCATTCAGGGCTACACACAGAGAAGCCCCGTCCAAAAAAAAAAAATTTCAGTCTGCACCTTAAAAAATGCTCTCAGATGACGACCTCAGTGAATGCTACCTGATGTAGTCTACCCTTACAATAAGAGCCACATATATAAATCCATAGATTAAAAACTCACCTTTTTTACTCACTGTACCATTTTGGACAAAAGCTTGCAGGTGAATATCCCAATAGTTCTCGACAACAGATTCTTGGCTGAAATTGAATAAACTATTGCACCTAAAGATGACATCAAATGAAAGTTCGAATCTCACAGAATGAGTAACTGGAACAATTCCTATAAAACAAGATTAACAATGGCATTTCCAGGAAGGCATGAGAAACTGCTAATATATTTATATTAACATATAAGTATAGGTTCTCCTTTCTTTTAGGCCTTCCTCACCCCATGCCAAAGGTGATAAAGTGTGAGGCAAGTTGACAGGAATGAAAAATTCATTGTGACTGAAACCACGGGGAGTAAGGAAGACAAGTAATGAGGGTTAAGAAAGAAAGCACTAAGACTAGAGAGATGGCTCCATGGTTAAGAGCACTAGTAGCTCTTCCAGAGGAACCAAGTTCAGTTTCCAGCTAGCGCACAACTGCCTATAACATGTAACATGTAACATGTAACATCCTGTTCCATGGGGATCTGATATCCTCTTCTGGCTTCTGTAAGCTGCAGGCACACACATGGTGCACAGACATACATGCTGGCAAAACATCCATACACATAAAATAAAAGTTAGAATAATAAAGAAACATTTTTTAAAAGACAGTATTTTGTAGGTAGTGTTACTCTGAAACTTCTCTCATCTAGGGATAGTATGGGCTTTCTTAGCAATGGAGGGCTTGCTTCAGTTTTTCACTCTATCTGTTACCGTTATTATTTTGGGTGCATATCCACTTGTGTGCAAGCTGGTTAAAAGCAGCATACATGTGGGTCAGAAGATGAACTACAGGAGATGGTTCTTTCCTTCTAGCTCAGGTTACAGAGAACCTAAGCAGGTTGTCCGACTGGCACAGCAAATACTTTTTACACACAAAGTGATCTTGACAGCCTCACATCAGGTATTTTTTTAATTTAAGTTTTTCTCATACATTATATTTTGATCATGTTTTCCCTCCCTCAAATCTTCCCTGATCATCCCTACCCATCCAACTTCATGACCAAGAACATAGCAATGAAAACTGAAACAAACAAAAAACACTAAGACAAAAAGTGTCAAAACAAAAGTTACACACACACACACACACACACACACACACACACACACACACAAGTCCATGTTTTTTGCTGGCTAACTACTCCACTGGAGAAAAATTATCTCTTCCACCAGCCAGTACTAATTACAGATAGCTTCTTGGTTGGGAGTGGGCCTTAAAAGAGGAAACACGGCCTAATTTATTTTATGGAATGCAACAAATATGCAGCAACAGACAGAGAAAAACCCTAACTTTTAATTGACAGGGGAAACAGAAGGCCACTTTGTCTGCTTAGGTGAAAAGCAAGAATGAAGGGGTTTGTGCAAGCCTTAATATAGTGAAGGGCAGGAGGAAGAAAACAAAGGTTAAACTTAAAAGAAAAATACCTCTCTACAATAAAATAGATAGGACTTAGTGACTATAGGAAAGGAAGAGTGTTGAGAATGTAGCTCAGTAAGTAGAGCACTGGCCTACAGGCATATCAGAGACCCCAATAAAGTGGGGTGGTGTATCCACACAGGCCAGTATTGAAATCCCTGTCACTCCTGAGGTGGCAGCTGGAAGACTAGGAAATCAAGCTCATGCTAGAGGCCCACGTGGACTACATTAGAAATGATAGATGCTTCTTCCTTCTGGGGCTAGTGAGGTGGCTCAGAGAGTAAAGTGACTTGGTACACAGGCCTGATAACCTGAATTTATTACCCAGGGTGTAGATGGAAGGAGAGAACTGACTCCATAAGTTGTTCTCTGACCCACACACACCATGGCACACACTGGCACATGCGTAATAATGATTATAATAGTATTTTTTTAAAAGATTGGATTAAACACAGATTTTTGTAATCTCTATTTTTGTGCTACTATCCACAAGTATGTTATATCAACTCTACTTACAAACTTGTACCTAAATGCAATTTAAAGATGATTCCAGCCTGGCAGTGGTGGCACATGCCTTTAATCTCAGCACTTAGGAGGCAGAGAAAGGCCATCCTGGTATTCAGAGTTCCAGGACAGCCAAGGCTACACAGAGAAACCTTGTCTCAAAAAAAATAAAAAAAAATTAATAAATAAGTTAAGATTATTTTCTTTCAGTAAAATGTTATGCCACTGTGAACAAAATGTTTACTGGAATGCCTTTAGTGAAACTGCAAAATACTAAGATCATACAGCTCTAAGTGACTTGGTCTCTTGGAGAAGTATAAAAGAATGTATTCATGATCCTTAATGCTGGTCTTCATGTAACAAGGTAGCCACTTAATGCTCTCTTGGCACCTCCTAATGGACAGACAGATGAGGTGTTTTGGGTTTTTTGGGGGAGGAGGGTTGTTTTGTTTTGTTTTTAATTTGAATTTGTTTTCTTAAAATTGTCTCGTTATCAAAAAGGAAAAGATGTGAACTTGCCTCAAAAAAACAATGAAAGGAAGCCAGGCATGGTGACTGACGCCTTAATTCCAGCACTTAGGAAGCAGAGGCAGATGGATCTCTCTGTGAGCTTGAGGCTAAGTTTATGATCTGCATAAACTTGAGTTCCAGGCCAACCAGAGCTACTTGGTGAGCCCTCATTTTAAAAACAAAACAAACAAAAAACAATGATGAAAAAAAAAAAACAAGTTCTAGACATATTGGGGTTATGCTATGAAACTATATAAAAATTAAAACTACTGGTTATGAACAAAGATAACACACACAGAAATGCTACACCCTAAATTATAAGACTGTTTGCTTCTAGTAGGCAGGAAGGAAAATGGGAGCTGAAGAGTACCTCAAATGTATTAGTAAAGTTTTATTTGTTTAAATAATGAAGCAGCCATTTTAAAATTACATTTATTAGGCCAGGCATATTTCTTTAATCCCAGCACCCAGGAGGCAGAGGCAGACCGATCTCTGTGAATTAGAGACCAACCTGGTCTATATAGGGAGTTCCAAGACAGCCAGAGCTACACAAAACAACTCTAAAATTAAAAAAAAAAAAATTAATTCTGGGTAAGAAATTTCTGTGGGTCTACTATTCTTTTTTTTTTTAAATCTTAATCATGGAAACATTTTTTTAATAGCACCTTCAAAGTTACTTCAATTAATAAATGCCTGAAAATTAGTATTTTAGAGCAGGGCAGTGATGGTACACAGCTTTAATCCCAGCACTCGGGAGACAGAGGCAAGGGCATCTCTGAGTTCGAGGCCAGCCTGATCTATAAAGTGAGTTCCAGAACAGGCAAGGCTACACAGCGAAACCCTGTATTGAAAAACAAACAAAAAACAAAACAAAACAAAACAAAAAAATAGTATTTCAAAATACTAAATTATTTCAAAGGCAATTTTCTAAAGTACATGTAAGTAAAGTACTTTGAATCCCAAATCATTTTGGTAAGTACTTTATTATACAGAAGACAGTCATAGAAAAATTCAACCACTTATTTAAAATAAAGACAAGGAAGGGTTAGCATGTTAGTGATTTTTGTCTAACATGTCAGACTAAAGCCATTTTCCTTTAACAGTTGCCCACGTTGGTTAGACATGCACTGCATCATCCCCTGATTATTATAAGACTGAAGCTGACTTCTCCACTTGTAGTCTATTCACTTCCAAATTAAATCAGCAGTATATTCTCTATAAACCATTCCGTCTGCCGTGCTTGTATCATTTTCTGGCTTAGAAAAACCTACCATGTTTTCCCTCGTGCCTACCCCATCATGCTAAATGCCCTTTGTTGGCTTCCCAGGCCCCCTATAATGAGACCCACTGCACTGAGCCAGCTGTCTTTGCCTCCTGATACACATACAGATATCCTGGATTTTAATCAGACAATTCTCTAGTGACTGCTGTGTATCCTCTACTTCCCCCTAGTGGATACATCCTGCTCAAATTCTTCCACTTACATTCCACCATTAGCAGCTGCAGTTCAGGACCCATTTCTCCACCAAGCACTTTTACCCCTCCATCATAAACTGACCCCTCTGCTCCCAATCTCTCTTCTCTTTCTGCTCCTCATCAGGACCTCTGGTGATAACACTCAGAAAACAGGCACTCAGCCCAGGGATCCACATATGAGACTGGAGAATGCATACTACATTCTGAATTTACTGTGTGTGTTTTTGTTGTTGAGAATGGGGATCTAGAACTTTCCTCATAGGGTCAGAAAAGATTTATAAACTCTCTAACCACTTACAACAGAAAATACAAACAAAAAAAAAAAATTCAGACTGAGCTCAATGGTCTTCATATCACCTGCAAACACAACTAAACTCTGTCTTCCTCAATAATCTCTAAACTCCTTGACAGTCAAGGACAAACCTTAACCTAGTAATTAAAAATAATGCAGCCATGCCCTAGCCACAGAGATAAATATCTAAAATAACCAAAAACCTCTTGCCTCAGTTATTCTCTCAAAGTAAGAGAATAATAGAATAAAAACTTGGGTTTGATTTTCAACTCTCAGTCACACTAGCTACTGAGTTTAATGTGAAGCTCATTTACTTCTGAGTCTTGTCTTTGTTTGTTTTTTGAGACAGAGTTTCTCTATGTAGCCCTGGCTGTCCTAAAACTCATTCTGTAGACCAGGCTGTCCTTGAACTCAGAAATACAGTGTGCACCACCACCAAACTCAGAGATCCACGATGTGCACCACCACTACCACCACTCAGCTCACTTGTGTCTTTAAAATATGATCTTTCCATCCATCCAAAGGTGGTATTAATCCTCAGATCTAGGCACCTGGTGTTGAGCTTCCAGTGTTTTCGCAGTCATAATGGCACACTATGTGTGAGAAGAGCTAACCACTCCAGACATCATGCTAATCTAATCTCACTGGAGGGGATTGAAAAGGGAGAGAATTAAATCCCTAATAAAATCAGCACCATAAACTGAACACAGCAGTGTGCAAGCACCAGTAATCTCAATACTCAGGAGTGCTGAGAAAAGAGGAGTATACATTTCAGGACAGCCTGGCTTGCTTCAGAGACAGAAAAAAAAAAAAAAAACCACTTAAATTTTCTACTATATACACTTTTAGAATATTTTAATGTGTAATTGTTTTAAGAATGACAAGACTGGGTAGCCAGGCAGTGGTGGCACATGCCTTTAGTCCCAGCACTTGGGAGGCAGAGGCAGGTCTACAGAGGGAGTTGCGGGACACCCAAGGCAACACAGGGAAACCCTGTCTCGAAGAAAAAGAAAACGAATGACAAAACTGGCCTAATCACATAAATTGTTCTTGATCTGAAGTTGTCTCAAAATTGCAAATGTCAAGTTTAGTTCCATTAACTTTAGTCATTGTTTGCTTTCCAAGTAAAAGTTTATCTTAATAGTAAAAAGATTTGAAGGTGATGTAATTCTAAATCTAAACTGAATTTGTACACTTTCAATTAAAGAATTTTCTCATTCATCCAACATTTGTTGACTGCCCGCTACTGAATGAACAACAGTTAAGTGCATGAACTCTATAGCCCAGTAAACTTTGCTTCAAACACTAGCTTTCTTGCTCACTTACTAGATTTGGAGTCTTTGGAAAAGTCACCAAGCCTCTATTTACTTCCCAGTGATACTATAAACTACACACTCAGTAAAATATTGCATGTGACAATCAGAGTAATTAATGGTATAGAGTGAAACACTTCAGCAATGACAGTCAATATCACTTTATGCCCAACACTATTCTATGCATGGAGTCAGGGATAAGCTGAATAAGAAGTTTTTGATTTTTCATTATTAGGAAGACAGATGGGCATAATAATCGTTTTAGTTGTTGACACTTTTTCTTACTAATGAAACCAAGAGAATTTAACACAAACCCAATCTTAGGTTACCTTTAGCTGCAGCACCAGGAAATGTTGTGCTATCATTAGTGTTGTAGGAAAGCGAGATGGTGTCAATAAAATAATGAGACACTTCCTTGGTAAAATTCAGAGTCCAAGAGATAGCAGATCCAAATTGTACCATTATTTTGGCACCATTATGGTCATCCCCACAACGGCTTCCATTATATGTCACACTGGAAGGATCTGAAATGGTTATAGTTTTCTAAAAGATAAAAAAAGTTTAGGAGTGGATGTGAAAAAGCAGATAGCAGTTAGTCCCACCCCTGGAGAACCCAGTTGAGTATGTCACTTTTAGCTAAATCACACTTTCCCCTCAGCCAAGAGGCCCTTTGCTTAGAATATCTCATAGCTATGAGAACCAATCTCACCTTCTTTGACTATATACCAAGTATCTGGACAAGTTCATGTATGTCTACAGAAAAGAGAAGTTGCCTGGACTCCTATCTAGATGTTTGTTTATTTCAGCAGACCTGGGGATAGAATCCAGGGTCTCAAGCACAATGAGCAAGAGTTCTACCAATGAGCAACTTCACAGACTGTAAGACTTTTTTTTTTAAGTAATGCTATAGATAGGGCTTTAATAAAATAAAAATGAGACAAAAAGACCAAGAAGAGACCAACAAAAAGGTGGGTAGAAACAGCAAACTATTTCTTAGATGTCTCAGTGGTTAAGAGCATTGGCTGCTTCTCCAGAGGACCTGGTTTAGATTCACAGAACCCACTCTGTGGGCTCACAACTGAAACTCTAGTTTCAGGAGAGGCAAATCCCTTTTCTGTCCTCCTCTAACACCAGGCATACAAGTGGTGTGCAAACACACATGGAAAAAATTTATTTTAAACCCACATACACTATACAGCCACAATTTTTTTAAAATAAAAAATTTTTAAGATTAAAAAAAAGAAATTCAAGTTTTAATATTAGTATATTATATTATTTCAGAATTAAAACCGAAATGTCATGAAGTCTTTCCTTATTTGCATTTAACCATCTCCAAAGAAAACTCCAAAGAATCGATGAATTTGAAATATCCACTCCAAAAAAAAAAAAAAGAAATATCCACTCCAATCTTAAACAAAATACTTATAAGAGTATAATACTTTTTAAAACACAGGATTTCAGTGTTAGGCCAATTAACATGAGATCTTACTTGTATGCATATACAGTGAAGGGTTTTAAAAAAGAGTCTCAATGTAAAGCCGGGAGGTGGTGGCAGCCTAAGTCCTTAATCCCAGCACTTGGGAGGCAGAGGCAGGTGAATCTCTTGAGTTCAAGGTCAGGAGGGGTGTAGAAGGGCACAACACGAAGATGGGACACAAACCAAAAAAAAAAAACAAAAACAAAAAAAAAAGGGACTAAATGTAAATAAATCCCTGTTATAAAACTCAAGACAAATAAAGGACTGGGAGGTAATATAGTGCCAGAGTACTCACCTGGCACCTATAAGACCTTGGATTCAAACCCTAGCACCACCACCATATAAACAAACAAACAGACAAAAACAACCTGTTTAATATAAAGGACCAGAAAAAAGTGCTTAGCAGCACAGGCTATTCTCCCAGAGACTTTCCAGCACCAACATGGCAGTTCACCCTCACCTGTAATTCGAGTTCCACAGGATTCGGTGCTTTCTATTGATGTATCAGGGTAGCATTTTAATATGGTGCTAAACATCCATATACATAAAAAGTACATAAATCTCAAAAAAGACAAATAGATTTACTTACATAGGTGTCGTTTGTAGTTTCATATGTTATTTGGAAATCCATGTCCCATTTTGCATAAAGGCAAGTAGCATTTTTTAAATCTGTCAAATTAAGTTTCAATGGGTAGGCCTGAACAGCTCCTAGATTAAAAAAAAAAGAACAACAACAATATAAGGTAAAAATTCACATGTATCACAAGACCAGAGAAGCAATATCTCAAAGGTTTATAGGAGCCTAGATCCATAAGAAAAATCGATCTTTACAAATGCAGAATTCTTAACTTTATTTCACTTTAAAATTGAACTGAGTAAAAAAGGTTCATGAACTTTTCACGTGGATCCACAATTACTTCCTAAATCCTCACCCTGCTCCTTCTATAAATGAAAAGACCTTCACGTAGAAATGTTTTGGAACTTTTTATCTAACTTAATCTAATCTTCTATTACTTGAATACTACTGACACATTACCTATTAAATTCAAGCACCTAAACTTCAATATTCTAATGGAGAAGGGAGAAATATGCCAGCAAATACACCTGCAACATGAAAACAAACAAACAAACAAAAACAAAACAAAAAAAAAAAAACAAGCAACTATTTGAGAACTGTCTTGCCTGTTTCATACATTATCCAAGGGAAAACTGCCTTCTGTTAAAAATCACTGCAAACCCTTTGATGTTATCCAAGCAAACCAGTGTTGTCTACAGGTAGGGACATGCTATTAGACTAAAGAGAAAACTCCTAAAAAGAATACCAAGCAGGTATGCCTCAGCAACAGCTTTCAAGCTGTACACAAAAGACTATCTTTCATGCTCCAGAGACCTGGCTGCCTTAGCAAGCCCAAACACAAGCCTAAAGCTTGTGCTTACTAACAGCGACTAAGTACTGGCAAAGATTCAGAAAGACCTAGTACAAGAAACATAGGTGTTTTTTTGTTTTGTTTTGTTTACAACCATTCTTTTCTCCGTAGACATGGAATGGTCCTGTCAAGCATATCCAAGTCTACCCTGTAGAATGTTTCTCAGAACTCCAAATTACATTTTTCCTAATCAACTGGAGATTTGCTTTGCCTGTATTCATTCTCTCAGCTTGGCAGAAAGTCCCCAGCTTGTATCCCTGGTATAAAGCCTACTTGGTCATGATAAATGATCTTTTTAGTATGCTGCTGCATTCAATTTGCTGTGATCTTATTAAGAGTTTTGCATCTATATTCATTTAAGTATCAGTAGACATCTCTCTTTCGTTTTAGTCCTTAGAAGATGAGACTAGAATAGAAACAAAAAAAAAAAAAAAAAAAAGGAATAAAGTTGTGTAAGATAGTAACAAGATTGATTTGCCCATGGTGAGAAAGTAAATGTTTTAGGAAGAGGGTTCAGGTCGTAGTTCCCACTTACCACCTTTTTGTTTGTTAGGTTTTGTTTTTTTGAGACAGGATTTCTCTGTACAGCCTTAGTTGTCCTGGCCTCGATTTGTAGACAAGGCTGGCCTTGAACGCACAGCAATCTACCAGCTTCTGCCTCCCTGAGTGCTAGAATTAAAGGAGTGTGCCACTGCACCTGACTGCATTTATCACTTTCAATCAAACTCAAAATAGCTCATCTACCTCTGGCACAAGACTAAGAATGGGGAGGGATGCCCTGAGGACCCAGACACACCTATCCATCACTCTCCAAGTCCACATAAATCAGGATTGCTTTTATTCAAAGGCTTATCAGCTCAAACTCAACAATTTCATAATCCAGATTCATTCTTTTACTTCCTCCTCCAAATGGGCCCCCACCTCAACCCCCTACCATGAAATAAAAAGACAAAGCCTTCTGCTTTCTTTCTACTTCTATTCCCAATCTACCATTCCATTCAACATTACTACAGACCCCTATGAACTGTTCCTAAAAAGCGCTGCCAGATACCACTTTCTCCACATTTTAAAAACTGTTACCAGTTCCCAAACTGCCGAACTAAATTTAAATTCCGGTCTGACTTTCAAAGTAATCCTTAATTTTATCCCACCCTATTGCTTCAACATCACTCAGACCACGTTCCCAGAACACACCCTTGAATCTGGCTTAACTGGTTTCTACTGGGCCCAAAGACTACACTCTATTCAGCTTGGCTACTATTGTTTCTAGCACTTAAGAGCCACTTCCTCCTGGTGGCTTACAGCTATACCTCAAGGACTTCTGCTCTTAGAGGCTGTAAAGGTGAAATAACTTTACTCTAACTACTGGCCCACATCACTGGCTGCTCCAGAAACTGGGAATGTTTAACACTTGCTTTCCCAACCTACCTTACAACTTAACTTGTCCCTAACAATTCCACCCTAGAAATTCCACACTACAGAAACAATTCCACACTATAGAAAAAGCATCCTATGAACAAAGAAATCGCTTAGCAGGTTCAAGGGCCCAGGAAAAAAAGATGATGCTGGCCAATGGTAGAAGCTTAAGTTTTTGCACTTGGTCATAGGAATGCAAAATCCTGGGGTACTGAATCAGGTTTACTATGCACCTTTTTCACATTATTTATTTTGTGATTTGGATACTGGAGTTTGAACTTGGGGGCAAGTGTGCTACCACTCAACTACACACTCAGCTCTTGCTCACTTTAAAGCAAAATATTTTATTACGATGTATCATACACCACATAACATATAAGGAAAACTTGTATGCAATGTTAGGTACAGCTCAGAGCATTTTTTAATTACATGAGCAAATGAACCCTCCTTCTTCAAGAGGCAGAAAATTCCAACTACAGTCACAGTATCTATAGGAACAGCTTCCAGGACTCTCTAAGGACACTAATGTTCTAGATCCTTGTATAAAATGGTGTATGTAGTATTTGCACCCAGCCACATCCTCCTATATACTTTAAAACCTCCCCTGAACCACTTATATAACACAAATGCCATGTAAATACTTGTACTACCTCCCCCAAAAGCCCATGGTATTCAGTATACTGTTTATCTCCCATACTGTGACCTATGGCTGCTTGAATCTGTGGGTATGGAGTCAATGGAGGACAAAGAAGGCTGGCTATACCCCTAAAGTTCCCCATTCAGTTACTATTCCCCTTCCAAGGTAAAATGACATGCTGACTTGTAACAATACAGTTGACAACTACCTGCTTTTTAGCTCGATATAAACAGAATAACGTAGTATGTTCTCTTTTGGGTCTGGCTTCTTTCATTTTCACTGTGATGTGTGTAACTGCAATTCATTCATTCTTTCTATTCTACTGTTTCTGATTATGGGGTGATTCTTTGTAATATACCTGTGGTATTGTTGATGGACACCTATAACGTTCCCAGTCAGTCCCATCACAAATGCTGCTGAAAACACTCTTCCATGTATTGGTAAGCTTGTATGCTGAATATTTATCTAACAGTATAATTGTGGTTTCAAAGAGTATGCAATGTGTCCCACTATAGTTTGAAGGTTTTGTTATTGCTGCTTGCGGGGAAGGGGGTGGTTTTGTAGTTTGTTTTGTAGTTTGAAACAGTCTTTTTCTTCCATTTTCCCCCTTTCTTTTTGAGACAGTGTCTCACTATGCAGGCCCACTGGCTTGGAACTCACTGTGTAGACTAAGCTGGCCTTGAACTGAGATCACATGCTTCTGCCTCCCATCAGAACCACAACCAGTCAAACCGTTTTGGTAAGTATCCCAGAATGGTCTTGAACTTACTGTTTGTTTTCCAGGCTGGCTAAGAACTACAGTCTCCTGCCTGTAATTACAGATCTGTGCTACCAAACCCTGCCCCACTATTTTCAATAAATCCATTTCTGCTTAAAATCCATCAGGTTTTCCTTATCATGCTTGTAACTGAGAACTTGGACTGAAGCTGGGCTTGGTAATGACGAATGCATGTAATCCTAGCACTTGGGAAGCTGAGGCAAGAAGATCATGAGTTTAACGCTAGTCTAGGCTAGACAGTAAACCCTCAACCCCGAGCCCCATCTCTAAAAACAAAACACAAACACAAATTAGGACCATGCTTGCATGCTATCCATTATTTATCAGTCACTTCTTCACAAACTTCCCTTAAATATAAAAGTCCATAATGCATATTTATACATCTCAGGCGACTTTACACTATCTTGAATTACTGGTATTTTTAATGTTCTTTCAATATTTTTTATTCTATGGACAAATGACAGATAATTTCTGAATGAGGGAATTTAACTGACCAATGAATGCATTAAAAAGTACTCAACATCATCAGCTATCATGGCAATGCAAATCCAAGTTATTGTCATTGAATCCTGTCTTCCCTACTGGCAAAGGCTCCAAAACACAACACTTTTGTTACCTTGGTGTTTGTTTGTTTGTTGGTTGGTTGGTTGGTCTTTTTGTTATTTTGTCTTTTTTCTTTTTTCCCAGAGCTGAGGACTGAACCCAGGGCCTTGTGCTTGCTACCACTGAGCTAAATCCTCAACCCCAACCCGGCACTTCTGAACTGCCACTTTACAGCAAACACACTAGTATGCTGTGGAAACTGATATACACTAAGCAACTTATTATTAGTAAAATACCAAAGTCTGTGAGTGATATATGTGGACAAAGATTCACTTTTGCTAGTGTTTCCATCATTCATTTGAATTCCAATATGCTCCTTTAATCATAAGATCTTATCTAAGCCACAGTTGCTAGGAGTGTGTCTTTTATACAGATGTCATCTATCTTTCTTGTCACATTGGAGAACAGGTCTATTACTTTTCCTCTATCTCTTATCACTCCTAGTAGTGCTGAATACATATTAGGTTTTCCATAAATACTTATCAGTTACACCAAAGAGAAAATTCCCTGCAATGTAGACCTGAAATACTGCTCAGTCTAATTACAGGGAAGACCAGCTCTTTACAACTTCCAAATCAGTGTTCTGGATATTACCACGAACCTCATGTCAGTTTTCCATAAACTGATTTCAAACCAGGGATAGTGCTTTCCCCATAAAGTGAAAGATTAACCTTGAAATGTTATACTTGAGCAGAATGTCTCTAGCAGGTGATTTCCACACTTAACTGCTATGCTTGACTTTTAGACTAGTCAAACTATGTTAAAGGCTATATGGTCTTTAAAAGCCATGGCTTAATATATTCTGTCATTTGTGATTATGGAGCTGAGGGCTTATTCTGAAAAGAAA